CTGCATTTCGGGGTCAGTCTGGGGATTTCTGGGCACACATCCAGCACAGACTGGGGGGGCCCTTTTGGGGAGGGGTCTGGGGGTGCCCCGAAACCCCCCAAAACCCCCCCAAAACGACCCCAACCCCCCCGCAGACGGCGTTCCCGCTGATCGACAGCATCGACCCGCACGGCTTCGTGTCCTACCGGCTGTTCCGCGACGCCACGCGCTACATGGACGGCCACCACGTCAAGGTGGGGCTCCCCCCGCCCCCCGGACCCCCGATTTGGGGCGGAACGCTCAGGTTCGGGGGTCCCCGCAGGACATCTCGTGCCTGAACCGCGACCCGGCGCGCGTGGTGGTGGTGGATTGGCGCCGCGACGCGTTCCGGCTGCAGCCGCACAACGGGCTGGCGCTGCCGCGCTGGGACGGCGGCTCCGAGGACAGGGCGCTCTTCGACCTGGCTGCCTTCCTCAAGAGTGGGTGAAACCTCCCAAAAATGTCCTGAAATGGCCCCAAAACCCAGCCCAGACCCACCCAGGATTCACCAAACCCACCCAGGATTCACCAAACCCACCCAGAATTCACCAAACCCCACCCAAACCCCGGCAGCTCCAAGGACCTGGCTGCCTTCCTCAAGAGTGGGTGAAACCTCCCGAAAATGTCCTGAAATGGCCCCAAAACCCAGCCCAAACCCACCCAGAATTCACCAAAATCCATCTAAACCCACCCAAACCCCGGCGGCTCCGAGGACAGGGCGCTCTTCGACCTGGCTGCCTTCCTCAAGAGTGGGTGAAATGCCCCAAAATGGCCCAAAAGTGTCCTGAAATGGCCCAAAAACCCCTTTAAACCCAGCCCAAACCCACCCAGGATTCACCAAACCCACCCCGAATTCACCAAACCCACCCAAAACCCACCCAAACCCTGGCGGCTCCGAGGACAGGGCGCTCTTCGACCTGGCTGCCTTCCTCAAGAGTGGGTGAAACGCCCCAAAAATGTCCTGAAATGGCCCAAAAACCCAGCCCAGACCTGCCCAAACTCACCCAGACTTCACCAAAATCCATCTAAACCGAC